AAATATTCTAACCTTCATTCCAATGGTCCAAGCCAATCATACATTAAAATGTCGCCGTCAGCTCTTTCATCACTCGATACAATTATCACTGGGGAATCCGAAGCAGAGTCAAGAGTGTTCATCCTTGTTAATGTGACAGTCAGAATTTCCTCGTAAACAATTCACACAAGATTCTTAGAATATATGAATCGGGATAATTCTGCTTAGAATAATGTTCCAGAGAAGTGACAAAGTACTTCGTAGCTGCAGATTAAATGAGTGTACATGTCTACAAACAGATTCTTTGCGAGAAAATGTTCAACTTCACAAATCATTTTATTTTCAGTTTGTAAACCATGGCAAACATGTGTCCGACGTCGACTCGAAGGGGCACACTAAAAACGGGATATACTAGAGACCTGATATTTACCTGACGTTTTATTTTTAAATTAAATGGTAATATTGAGTATTTTAAATTACTTATGTACAGACTTTATGACTTCGAGGCATATGCTATACAAAAATTCAATTGTTTGGAACATTTACAGACAAATTTGAATCAGGTCAAATCAGTGTTTAGTACATCGCGTCTTTAGTACCTTCCTATTTCCCACAATGCCGCGCGTTGTTTACAAACAAGCGCGAAAAAATCCTCTAAACTAGGTACTAATTATTGTTGTGTGCATCATCACATTTTAAAATTATTTGAATAAAAAGACAACAAAGAAACACCAAATCAAAACTATATCTTTTAGATGCATCAACTAAAAATGTGCACATGTATGCAGTAAAGGGGCTCGTAAGGGCTTGGCTGGCTATAGTAGACAACTTGTTCCTGAAAGGTTTCTCACATACATGTACTTGTTTTATAAAAAAAAAAACAATTAAATATAGCTGGAAGTTTATTTCTTTTTATATCAAATGACAAGATTTTATAAGTTCGAAATTATTTCAGTCAAACTTTTTCATAATATACCAATATTTTTAGCTATCAGAAAAAAGCGTGTATGAACTATTAACCCCTAATTATAGGGGCCAGCCCCTTTTCGTTAATCAAATATGAAAGCTCTCGTAATTACCCACAACTTTTGTCATATATTTCTTACCAAATTATTCTCGGTTTAAAAGTTATTACACAAAAAGTAGCAAAAATTCAAAGAAAAAAAATTACTAAAATTTGCCGTTTTATAGCTTCCAAACTTTAAGAAATCAGCTATATAATTTTATCGTTGTGCACATCTACAATGTATTGGCTACAAGTTCTCCAACTTTCGTGTAAATATCTTATGTCATTTTTGAGATTTTCAGTGGAAACGAGACATCAAAAATTTTCAATTAAAGGGCAATAACTCACAAATAAAGGCATGCATAAAAAAACTGAAAACAGGTTTAAATAGGTTTAACTACAAACTATCTATCCTGAAAGTTTCATAACGATCAGTCCAAAGGTCTTTGAGAAATCGCCTGTCAAAAGTCGAGCGGGAAAAAAAAGAATAATAAGAAACTAGAGCAAAGCTCGTTGCAAAGCAACGAGTGGGTCTTCCTTTCTAGCGATAAGCAAAAGATTAAATGTTTCTGTCTAAATTGTCAACTTTGCTAACATTCTCTTTTTCGATTTGTCTCAAAAACCCTTACTTGAATTCTTTAATTTGGTGTGAGCATGGGGTCTAAAGGGTACTCTCTCTAACAGCATTCTTGAAATCGTATCCACAACAGTTAAACTTCCAATATTATGACTTTTGATATCGGATATATCATCTTTGTTGCAATTATGTTTGTGAAACGTGTCATACTACAGAAACATAAGTGTTTTGCTACATTACCATCTTAAAAATGGCTTTAAAATCATTTAATATACAATATAACTAGGTAAATAAAATAAACAAATTATATAATAAATCAAAAAATCCAAATGTCTTTACAATAATGATGAACAATCTTCATTAGTTGCAATCAGTAAGTAGAACAATACTTTTATAATAAACGCAAAGAAATGTCTTGTGTATATTTCGAATTTGTAGCTTTCCACTAGCAACTGATGGTACCTCAATAGGAGTGTAAAATTCTCTGAAAGGTATATTGTAAACATATTACATATGGCTGTGTATTCTTTTTTAGCGGCTTTTGCAGATGCAGCAATCACTAAATCAAGTACAAAGCTAAAAGTCTTGTACATAAACATAAATAAGAATATCTACGCTAACTTATTCAAAAGTCAATTTCCACCAAATATTGTACAAGCTAAATATAATACATGTACATTTACAGCATTAAAGAAACAAATCCCTTTGAAAGTATTGCCCTGCATAAGAACAATTTGAATCCCCTACACTAAGGATGCTCTGTGCCAAGTTTCACTTTGGTTCTGGAAAATGATATTGTGAAATTTTAGACAATGATGATAATGGACAAAATTATGTTTTTAAAAAATTTACTGGTTCCTTTAGCTCAGATGGGCTAATAAGTATGCAACAGGCACAGTTTTGCAGTTGACATTGAAATGCGACTGGACATCTCTTCAATCTTGTTTTAGAAAACTACATGTACATGCCCTATGTATTGAATTCCTTGGAATCATACACATGTTTATGCCTTTATTTAGTTGTATGTGCCAAAATAACAATTTTTTTACATTATACTGTAACAAGAGGCCCAAGGGCCTTGAATCGCTCTTCTGATAAATTGTACAACCTATCACTTGTATTTGAAGCCTCTAACCCTAAGTATCCTATTAAAGACCCAAGTTGCATCACCTGACAAAGTTTTATGATTCTTAGCCAATTAGAACTCCTTTTTGGTCTACATTCTTGGAAATCACAAAATGCATCAAGTGACAAAGTTTGATAATTCTAAGCCTGAGATATTCAAAAGTAGGTCACTGTGACTTACTCTTTGGTCAACATTCTCAGAAAACCAAAGATGCATCAACTGACAAAGTTTGATGATTCTTAACTACTAAGTACCAGAGATACTTAAATATAGCCATAAAATGTCGAAAGTAGGTCATTGTGACCTGCATTTTGGTAGACATTTTTTAAAGTCCCAAGATGCATCTGCTGACCAAGTTTGAAAATTCTAAGCCAATAAATACCTGAGATATTCAAAAGAAGGTCACCATGACCTACTTTTAGGTCGACATTCTTCGAAAATCCATGATGCATCAACTGACAAAGTATGATGATTCTAAATCTATAAGTACTAGAGATACATAAATATAGCCATAAAATGTCAAAAGGTAGGTCACTGTGACATACTTTTTGGTTGACATTCTCCGAAAACCCAAGATGCATCAACTGACAAAGTTTGATGATTCTAAGCCAATAAGTACTGGAGAATACTTAAATATAGCCATAAAATGTTGAAAGTAGGTCATCGTGACCTACATTTTTGCTGACATTTTTTAGAGTCCTAAGATGCATCTGCTGACCAAGTTTGATAATTCTAAGCCAATAAATACCTGAGATATTCAAAAGTAGGTCACCATGACCTACTTTTTGGTCGAAATTCTCCGAAAACCAAAGATGCTTCAACTGACAAAGTATGATGATTCTAAACCAATAAGTACTAGAGATACATAAATATAGCCATAAAATGTCAAAAAGTAGGTCACTGTGACCTACTTTTTGGTCGAAATTCTCTGAAAACCCAAGATGCATCAACTGACAAAGTTTGATGATTCTAAGCCAATAAGTGCCGGAGATATTTAAATATAGCCATAAAATGTCGAAAGTAGGTCACTGTTACCTAATTTTTGGTCGTCACAATCCGAAAACCGAAGATGCATCAACTCACAAAGTTTGATGATTCTAAGCCAATAAATACCTAAGATACTTAAATAAAGCCATAAAATGTTGAAAGTAGGTCACCGTGACCTACATTTTGGTCGACATTTTTCAGATTTCCAAGATGCATCTCCTGACCAAGTTTGATGATCATAGGTTTAAAGGTAATCAAAATATGCCTTTTAAACAATTTGAAAACAAATGCCTGCAAAATTCTAAAAGTAGGTCACAGTGACCTAATTTTTCTTAAATATGTTTTAAGGTCCCATGATGCAGCAACTTACAAGATTTGATGATTCTAACCCTTTCAGTGCCTGAAATAATGGGATTAAATGTTTTGAAAAGGATAAGTCATAAAGTTCAAAAAGTAGGTCACGGTGACCTACTTTTAAGTTGACGTTGTTCAAGGACCCAAGATGCATTAACTGACTAAGTTTGATGATCATAGGCCTTAAAGTATTCAAAATATGCCTTTAAATCAATTTGAAAACAAATGCCCGCAATGAGTTAACATGATGTGAGGTCCTAAGATGCATAAACTTACAAGATTTGATGATCCTAGTCCTTATAGTAAGCAAAATATGAACATTTTTATTAATTGTAAATTTAGGTCAACTTTAAAGTGACCTTGAGACCAGGCCCTTTGCCCCAGGGTCATGCCTTGAACAATTTTTAATCTTCAACATATCCTGATCCTTGTATGTAAGTTTGGTGAAAATCTGCCTGGTGGTTCTGGAGAAGAAGATTTTTTAGCAACCAGTGCTTTTTGTTTTGTTTTCCTGATTATCTCCCCTTGATTCAGGGTCCCAACCCTTAATTTAGTATAAATGGTAGCCCTTGGGCCAAGGATACCCTGTGACAAATTTGACACTGATTGGCCAAGGGGTTCTTGAGTTATGGCTCATATTCTAAAAAGTAAACGCACACCGCACGACGCACACCGCACAAATGGCCATAGCATTAGCTCTTTGAGCCTTTGGCTCAGAAGAGCTAAAAATACACATACATGTATTACAAGATCTTATATTCCTGCTGAAGACAGAGGATCTATCTTAATCATTAGAATAAGTAAGTATAAACTTTGAAAGGGAAGACCTTAATAAAGAGGTCAACATGCAACACAAACAAAATATTATTATATTTAAAAATAACATTTATTCCAATGTAATTACTGGTACATGTATTTCTGTTACAAAAACTATTTCACTTGAAAAACTGAGAGCAATTGATATGTTCATATTTGTGGATTTATGTTGTCAAATCAAAATTTAAAAATGATACACAATGTGTTTAAAAGTTGTCGTCACAAACCAAAACTTGACTTATTTTCACTATGCTGTTTATTCCATGTCACATCCAAACAGATGATCTTCTGGCAAATCATGGTCATGCTTGGTATCAAAATTCAGTATTCAGATGAGTCACACCTATCCAAAAGAAATTGAAATTTTTTAATTTATAATTCTTTTACCAATAAAACATGCAATTCATGAGATTATAAATTAGATTATAAAATTGAGTTCTAAGATATTGTCACATTTTCTGTGTATAATTTGTAAATTTTAATGTACTCTTTCATCAATTAAAAGAAGTTTACACCAATTAAGGCAGTCATTTATGCTATCCCCTAATAAGACAACATACAAGTGCTAAGTAATAATGCACGAGCGGGTCTAGGATAATGTGCTAGAGTATTTATGACAACATACATTTGTACTAGCACGAGGTGACAATGTGCTAGAATGTACGTCAGTGATAATATGCCAGCACACTGAATCCAACATGCAGTGAAGCTAACACTCAACAGATTGTTTAGAGTTGTGTTTGCATGATATTTTGTTTTGTGTTAACACAGCAGCGTGTTGTTTAAAGCTGCATTGGAGTGGCAGTCTGTTGAAATTAACATGCTAACACACTGCAACTCCACATCATTGGAACACCATAATTTTAATAACTGGCAAACCAATATTTTATGATTACTAACTAGGTAATTGCAACTGTAAATGCTGATTTCATGGTGACAATAATACCGGTAATTCACTGTATATCTGAGAACTGATCAGTTATAATAATAAGGCGTGTCCAGATAGGGCCACTTGCTAAAGCTCAATAGCACTTTCATAAAAAACGTGCCATCTTACCGACACAAAAGACGCCATTAGGCTATCACACAGCTCGCCATCACAACACTGAAAAACACTTTCGCACTAACACAAGTTCGCTGTCACACTAACACACAACACACTGTCACGCTAATACAATTTCACACAACAAAATATCAGGCTAACACGAGTTCACACAACACACTATCATGCAAACACGAATTCACAAACACGCTGTCTCGCTAACACAAGTTCACACAACACGTAGTCTCGCTAACACAAGTTTACACAACACGCAGTCTCGCTAATACGAGTTCATACAACACACAGTCTAGCTAACACAAGTTCACACAACACACTGTCACGTTTAGATGAATTCACACAACACACTGTCATGCTAACATGAGTTTACACAACACGCAATCTCACTAACATGAGTTTACACAATACACTGTCACGCTAACACAAGTTTACACAATACACTGTCACGCTAACACAAAGTCACAAAACAGGCTGTCTCACTATTCACTAACAAACGCTGTTGCGATAACACACTGTCATCCTAATACCATTTTCACACAACACACTGTCATCCTAATACCATTTCACACAACACACTGTCAGGCTAACACGAGTTCACACAACACACTGTCACGCTAACACAAATTCACAAAACAGGCTGTCTCACTATTCACTAACACAAGTTCGCACCAAACGCTGTTGCGATAACACACTGTCATCCTAATACCATTTCACACAAGATACTCTCATCCAAATACCATTTCACACAACACACTGTCAGGCTAACACAAGTTTACACAACACACTGTCACGCTAACACAAATTCAAAAAACATGCAATATCGCTAACACGAGTTCACACAACACGCTGTCTCGCTAACACAAGTTTACATAACACGCAGTCTCGCTAACACGAGTTCACACAATATGCAATCTCGCTTACACGAGTTCACACAACACACTGTCTCTCTAACACCAGTTCACACGACAAATTTTCAGGATAACACAAGTTCACACAACACACTGTCACGCTAACACGAATTCACACAACATGCTGTCTCGTTATTAAGAGTTCACACAACACGCTGTCTCGCTAACATGAGTTTACACAACACGCAGTCTCACTAACACGAGTTTACACAACACGAAGTCTCGCTAATACGAGTTCAATCAACACTCTGTCTAGCTAACACGAGTTTACACAACACACTGTCACACTTACACTTTAAACACGATTTCACACAACACGCTGTCTCGCTTACACGAGTTTATGCAGCACATCGTCAAGCTAACAAGTATTCACACAACCCACTGTCAGGCTAACACAATTAAGTTTACAAAACACACTGCCTTGCTAACACAAATTCATACAACACACTGTCTCGCTAACACAAGTTCACACATCACACTCACATTGCTGAGTTTAAAGTAAAGGTCTACCCTAATTTGAAGACATTTAACACTATATGGTAACATATCTCGATATTAGTAAAGAGCTTCAAATTTAAGACAAAAACATTTATGCAGTAATGTTCCTGAACATATAAAATCAATGAGACCTTAAAAACCTCACAGTACATGTTTACTTAGCTAAGTAAAGGTCTAAATTGATGCTATTCAACAGTATATATCAACATCTCTAAGTATGTGAATGAGTGAAATTCTCAAATAAATATTATCAATCAAAGTATCAATAAGAAGCTGAACCTTACGTCGCAGGTTCCAATTCCATTGCTAAATGCTTTAGACAGGTTACTCCTATGAGACTGCATAAACCAAGATTCTATGTCACGGTAGGTGTTAGCACAAAATGGATCTCATACTTCTTAAAGGCAATAAGTGCTAAGTACAAGTCTATATTTGCAGCTAATACCATCCCAAGTGGTGGCACCATGAAATGACTGAAAAATGTATGATTAAGGCAAATAAACAAACATTAAAGCCATATATGGCGTATGTGCAATGAAAATTATTAGACTAAAATTATAAGAACTTATTATTTGTATCATTACTTTGTATAAAGATAGAACTTTTCCGTAAATTACAAAATCTAAGTCAATTGCGTTATAAAGATATCACAATTTAAATTTGATTCTCGGAATTTTCTCCGTATCGGAAGAAAATACAAAAGATTTAAATAACACACTACAGAGAAGATAAAATTGTATTTTTAAATGAGACGAGGTGTTCTCCGTGTTCAGAATTGTATGAAAAGCTTTAATTTGAATGTATTAACAATAGTTCTTTACTTAATTTTGTATTTTTCAAAAATATATTTTTTTGATTAGTTACGCCATATATGGCTTTAAACCATTACAGCAGTCTTATCAAACAAAAAAGCAAACTTTCTATTATTACATTTTTTTAAACAAATTTCTTTTCGTTTTAACTGAGCAATATTTGTCTTTTTTTGTCAGTAAAGTATGATATTAAATAATTTAGACTCTTTGAGAACATCTATTTATAGCGAGTCCAGACAGCAGCACAAATCCCTGCCCATAATGCGAGCTCTTATGATAAGACCTTGGCAAAAGAAGATTGTGACTTGCACATTGCTCCACACAATTTTTCCGCAGTATACTTTGGACCCACAGTGCTTAGCTTCTTTAAAATGTTTAAGCTACATTCAAAATTCATTTCTATTTAATTTGAATTAGCTATCCTTACTCATGTTCACATGGAGCTAATGGGAAGTAATTTAACGAGCAGTGAATTCATTCGAATTAAACATTTGAATAAACTCTCAGTGTGAACACTGAGCATGGATGCACCAAATGTCAAATGCGGCTTGACAAGCACAATCTAAATTAAAACTAAATAAGTATCTGCCCTCACCCTTACAGTCACACTGTCAATATATAATTAGTTGAATATATTCTGAAACATTAAGTGCAGTTTGAATTATAGAGTATGATCACTATGATAGATAGTAGGACTGTTGAAATTACATCCTCAAATTAAAAAAAAATAAAATATAAAGCTGTGGGGATTTACAAGGTAAACAGAGAGCGTCTGAACTGTAAAACAGATAATATATCGGTGTGTCTGTGTATTTCTAATAACATCAATGTATGTCACTGTCATGTAATTAGTAGTGTAAATTTAAGTAATAAAAATATTCTAACCTTCATTCCAATGGTCCAAGCCAATCATACATTAAAATGTCGCCGTCAGCTCTTTCATCACTCGATACAATTATCACTGGGGAATCCGAAGCAGAGTCAAGAGTGTTCATCCTTGTTAATGTGACAGTCAGAATTTCCTCGTAAACAATTCACACAAGATTCTTAGAATATATGAATAGGGATAATTCTGCTTAGAATAATGTTCCAGAGAAGTGACAAAGTACTTCGTAGCTGCAGATTAAATGAGTGTACATGTCTACAAACGGAGTCTTTGTGAGAAAATGTTCAACTTCACAAATCATTCTATTTTCAGTTTGTAAACCATGGCAAACATGTGGCCGACGTCGACTCGAAGGGGCACACTAAAAACGGGATATACTAGAGACCTGATATTTACCTGACGTTTTAATTTTTAATTAAATGGTAATATTGAGTATTTTAAATTACTTATGTACAGACTTTATGACTTCGAGGCATATGCTATACAAAAATTTAATTGTTTGGAACATTTACAGACAAATTTGAATCAGGTCAAATCAATGTTTAGTACATCGCGTCTTTAGTACATTCCTATTTCCCACAATGCCGCGCGTTGTTTACAAACAAGCGCGAAAAAATCCTCTAAACTAGGTACTAATTATTGTTGTGTACATCATCACATTTTAAAATTATTTGAATAAAAAGAAAACAAATAATCACCGAATCAAAACTATATCTTTTAGATGCATCAACTAAAAATGTGCACATGTATGCAGTAAAGGCTTGGCTGGATATAGTAGACAACTTGTTCCTGAAAGGTTTCTCACATACATGTACTTGTTTTATAAAAAATACAATTAAATATAGCTGGAAGTTTATTTCTTTTTATATCAAATGACAAGATTTTATAAGTTCGAAATTATTTCAGTCAAACTTTTTCATAATATACCAATATTTTTAGCTATCAGAAAAAAGCGTGTATGCGCTATTAACCCCTAATTATAGGGGCCAGCCCCTTTTCGTTAATCAAATATGAAAGCTCTCGTAATTACCCACAACTTTTGTTATATATTTCTTACCAAATTATTCTCGGTTTAAAAGTTATTACACAAAAAGTAGCAAAAATTCAAAGAAAAAAAATTACTAAAATTTGCCGTTTTATAGCTTCCAAACTTTAAGAAATCAGCTATATAATTTTATCGTTGTGCACATCTACAATGTATTGGCTACAAGTTCTCCAACTTTCGTGTAAATATCTTATGTCATTTTTGAGATTTTCAGTGGAAACGAGACATCAAAAATTTTCAATTAAAGGGCAATAACTCACAAATAAAGGCATGCATAAAAAAACTGAAAACAGGTTTAAATAGGTTTAACTACAAGCTATCTATCCTGAAAGTTTCATAACGATCAGTTCAAAGGTCTATGAGAAATCGCCTGTCAAAAGTCGAGCGGGAAAAAAAAAAGAATAATAAGAAACAATAGAATAACAGTAGGGTCTTCCGAAGGAAGTGGAAGACCCTAATATTCTTGAAACATATAATTATCGTTTAATTATGAAATAATGTTTTAAACTGTCGTATTTAAGCCATTTTACATCCGTAATGTAGGCTCCTCAGATTGAAAATCTCCGCTAATTAGATAGGGGTCACGTGGTACTGAAACGTCATAGGTGTCAATGAGCAATTAGACCTCGTAAAGCGTATCGTAAGAAAACATCTACCGGATAGATTTTTGCATGAAATAAAAAAAATACACCACTAGGTTGGAAAAAAATTTGATATTGACAATATTACTTTGGCTATGGACGCTTAATCTTATATGTATTGGGCTGACTAAAATAGAAAAAACAAAAACATACCGTGAAAAGAGGAGAGGGCATTGAAGACGAAGCCTTTGACAACTCCTGGCTTCGATTGAATAGATCGAATTATTAACGTTTGAATTCTTAAATAATTATAAAAATGGTGGTTTTTCGGTTTCTTTCTTCGTTATATTAATAAATTATACACAAACAGATCTTGTGTATCTTCTATCTAGTCCAGCAATGAATATCATTTCAGCAAGGACACTTCGATCTTCAATGGCGCCGTGCGCCATTACGCACTTCACAATTCTAAGTGCATGATGTGCGTGCCGGACTTTTAAAATGCATGTTTACAAATTATTTTTTTTTCTTGAAAAGTATATTTCCATTAAATAGATATTTTATATAATACAGAAAAAATTGTGATCGTAAATAAACGAATGCGCTGAATGGAGACATATCCTCGTACCGACCAAGTCCCTGGCAGCTAAAAAACGTCCTAAAACCTTTCCTGTGCTTATTTTTCATCCAAACGCCACAAATTATATCTAATTATCTATCAATTAACCAATTATCAATTATTTAATTTCTAGTGGGGTTTATGGACGAAGCCATTGAACCGTTTTTTAATCACAATAAGTACTTCGCTTGACCAGGACTGACACCTATGACGTCAGAGCAATGGCGCGCAAAATCGGCGATCAAAATATGCATATTGAGAAATTTAAACTTTGAATCGCTGAAACACCCAAAATATTAATTTTCTAACAAAAAATTTTGATGGAAGATTTTAATAGCATATAAACTTTGTTATATCAAAAAATCATGATGCATGATAAAAACCCTTTAATCTTCAGAATCAGTAGAAGGTCTTCCGTTGGAAACGGAAGACCTTAATTAAACACTTAATAAACACTTAGAGTTTACTAAATAAACACCGTGAGTGTTTAAAATTTAAACATTTCATGTTTAATAAATAAACGTGTTCAACCTAAACACTTAAACGCTTAAACATGTTTATTCGATGCAACAGATAATAATCACTTAAACATGTTTATAGGTCAATTTTTAAACACTTCAACGTGTTTATTTTACAAAATAAATAAATACTTAAACGTGTTTATAAGTTTTCAACATTTTTATTTGAAACAAATATAAATAAGTACAAAACACACTGTGGTTGATTATGAATATGTTGTACATAAAGCTTTTCTTAACTAATAAATGTTTTAATGTTGATTGAGGGTTCAAACTTTATAAACAACTGAAACATTAAATAACTCATTCACCAACACATGGATACATTATTCAATTTCAGTTGAAAAAAAAAATTCTAAAAATAAACTAGTATGAACATGTTAAACCTGTCGGGAGGGGGGGGGGTCTTTGAAATATGAAAAAAAATACATTATCGCTTAATAAAATGAAATGTTTTTTTTTCTAGGTCATCCTTTGTATCTTTTTTAAAAAATAAAAGAAGCAAAATGAAAAATAAATATGATGCAAAAAACTGAAAATAATAATTTGTTGTCTGGGTACAGCATGTATAATATGTACTTGTATTACACTAATTAATCTAGTTGTAAATGTTACAAGTTTATACTTTCACAAATATTCAGATTTTTAAGCTAATGAAGAAAATTTCCAGTTTTGACCTGTAAAGGACCAATTCTTGCTACTAACAAGAGATGCCGGGGTATAACTCACTCAATATCCATATCATATTCTAACCGAGTTAAACAGTCTAGCTCCTCTGGTTGTGTGTAAAATTCAGGTTCTTCTGAATCTGTTATTCTTTACGTTTAATATTGTTGTCAATAAGTGGGGGGTCACTGTGACAGAGGCTTATGTCACGGTGTACTACCCTACACCCGTTATTGTAAAAACCACATGCCTGCGGATTGGGCAGTTAGGGGTTAGTCTATAATTGTCTCGTTTGAGAAAACCTAAAGTACCATATCCCCCGTGTTTTTATAAGTTTACACTGTTTCTTACCTATTCAAAGGCTAATAATTATATCTACTAAATCTCTGCATTTCATTTCTTGAATTTTGCATTGCATTTTCCGACCATTTTCGTTATTTCGGAATTCGACATTTTTATTTGTATTTTTTTTTCACATTTTTGGATTTTTTAAAAGATACCTTTATGGAACTTAAAAGTTAACATATATAACAAAGATAGAAATAGATTTTTAACAGGGTATTGTATATATGTATTATATAATATTATTTATGATGGAAGTATGATTTTTTTTCATTGCCGAAAAATGCTGACATGAATTTGACAAATGTCTAAACTTTTAAAATGTAAAAACTGTCGGAAATGAAAAGTTTATTTTTTTGAAAATTCCGGAAATAAAATGCGGCCCAATAAATATTACTCCAGGACAAGGTATATGTGCATTACTTGGCGAAATGCATGTCGTTCATATAAAATCTCTGTGCATTAATGATATACATGTATTTATACTAATGTCTCTCGGTTTCAATAAAAATCGGAACATTTTATACGCCCTTCCTAAATGTTTTTTTTTTTTGGCGGGGGATGGGAGGGGCGTAGTAAAATCACGCGGATACGTGTCAAAAAATTAAAAATATTAAAGAATACCGGTAATGAACATATATGTCCCATATTTTTCCCCCAGAAACAAGAGCTTGAGTTTAGCCTCGCATATTAGAATTTCCCGTTAGCATCTAACAAACAACCCCGACTTGATTTTCCACCAGAGAAATACAGCTTCAGTACAGATTTTTTTCTCGCTTTCCACTGCTTTATGAGCTATAGGAAGAATTTATTCAACGAATAAACATTAAAGAGAAATAAAAACGCATCAATTTTTTAAAAAATAAATTAAATTGAAATAGTCTTTTAATATCATGACGTATCAAAAACTTCGTTGTCAGGCACGTAGCATCGTTGAAAGTAGTGGGGGGGGGACCAGAGACTATTTTTTTATTTACCAAAAAAAGTAGACAAGCAAAAAAAAAAAAAAGAAAAGACAAATTGCTCAAACTCAAACGAAAATCCTATATCGTGGGGAGGGGGGGGGGGGTAGTGGTCAACTTCAATCGTCGAGGCCAACTTCCTTTCACTTCCAATTCTTTCCCATATTTCCTTGCTATAAATATGGAAAAAGTTAAAATCACCTTACCCCCCCCCCCTCCTGTCAAAATTTCCTATTTCTATTTTGAGATTGTCAAGTTTTTTTTTTAAGTTTGACAATTTTTTTCCCTTTGAAATAGCCCTCCCCCCATTCCAATTTACTTCCAACGCCAATGATGTTACAGCAATCGAAATTTTATTTCTAAATTTTAAATTCTAAAGATGGTCTTTACAGTGTAAGGAAGTATTATCTTGCGTAGATTTTATAAGTATATTCCTTGCTTATATATTCAAATTAAACTGTAAAAGAAATGAAATTCATAACAATAGCATTACATGGAGTGCATGGTTAGAGCGTCGAAGTAAGGAGTTGATCCTTACGTCGCAGGTTCGAATCCCTTTTTGGGACGTGGAAATCGGTCCTTCGGATAAAAACGTATAAACCGGGGTCCCGTGTTGTAGTAGGTGCTGGCACGAAAAAGATCCCTCCTTACTCAATGGTCGTAAGTCCCGAATAAAGGACAAAATCTGTAGCTCACTGGCGGCAAGTGGTGGCGTCTCTATATGGGTGAACAATTCTCGAGAGCGACGATAAGCAGCATTTAATCACTAAATCAGTCTTTTTTGTCAATGTATTTTCTTATGTTTCCCGGTTCTTATCAACAGAAAGTAGTTGGAAATTAAGTTAGCAATTGTTTATTTTTTTACCAAAACAAAAGGCGGACCCTTTCTTCTGGTGCATTTTAAGCACCCCCTGCTACTCTTTAGCTCACATCAGCTTAAGTGAGCTTTTCTCATCACGATTTGTCCGTTGTCTGTCATCGTTCTCTATTGTTAATGAGAGAGATGTGCCCCGTCCATAATTTTTGCTGTGTAATTAGAAAAACAAAGGGCAGACCTTCCCTGAT